GTGTGTGTGTGAGTGTGAGTGTGAGTGTGTGTGTGTGTGTGTGTGAGTGTGTGTGTGTGTGTGTGTGTGTGTGTGTGTGTGTGTGAGTGTGAGTGTGTGTGTGTGTAAATATATAAAAAGTATATACAAATAAATAAATAAGTAAATAATAATAAAATATAAGATTAAAATAAACAAAAAGCACATTGTGCCAATTCGAAACCACATAAATCTTAATAAGTACTATTTATTTTGTACATAAAAATATGCACACCAAAAAAACAAAAACAAAAATATATATGTAAATAAATAAAAAATTATATACAAATAAGTAAATAAGAATAAATAAGTAAATAAATTATAAAATATAAGATTAAAATAAACAAAAATATTCAAATAAATAAATGGATTAAAACAAACAAATAAATTCAAAATTAGAGTGAAATAAGTAAATAAATAAAAATTAGATTAAAGTAAATAAATAAAAGTTATAAATAAATACATCAATATCATACTATAACAGTGCAGTACTATAATAAGAGAAAAAAAATAATAATGGAAACTACAGTCAATATTTGCCCAAAAATTTTTTTGATACATTTATAACATTAGTTTTTCACAGTATAAATTGTGTCTTTATGGAAGAAACAATACAAATGTTTTTTATTTATTAAAATTTTTCGGATAGGGGTTCCTCAGCTCGCACTAGGATGATCATATTTGGGTTCATGGCTTCTAAAAAGATTGAAAACCCCTGCTTTAGATCTTCTAAATGTTCTTCAGACTCAGAAAAAGTGCTTCTTTTAAAAACAGATCACTGAAAGGTTCTTTGGGGAACCAAAAATGGTTCTTCGTTTGCAGAGATGCTCAAATCTTTCAAATCCGGTCTGTGGGCCAAAAGTAAATGTTGCGTTGTATCCAGCTTCGTTATTTTTTATTTTATTTTTCACATTTATTACATTTTTACATGACTGAAAAAAACAACAACATATAAATTTGTATATTGCTTTTTACACTTTATTACAAAAATGTATTTAAAATGCTAAAACAAAAGTATAAATATGCTACAATGGCACATTTGTCCTATTTTTCCCCCGCTCTTGCAAATCAAAGGTCAGCGTTGGGCCTGGTTTGAGCATCTCTGTTCTAATGCATCGCTGCAAAACTCCTTTATTTTTGCCAGTGTTTTAATGAATGCTGATGTTTGTTCACGCAGCGGAGAGCTGGAGCTCGGATCTGTCCAGAGACTCGTGTGAATACTATCAGACGGAGATATTTGGCCTGTTGCCGAGCTCACAGGCTCATCGGCGGCTTCACGCAGAAACCCTCACAGATGATCAGGATCAGAGTCTGCTGGACAGAGTCTCCTGGAACCCCAGCGTCCCGCTCCGAGACCTGCCCGTCTGTCTGCAGGACAAGAGAGACATCCGGTGAGACGTCTTGCGATCATTTCATCTTCACAAACAATGCATATTAAATCTTCCCCATCTGTGCATGCTTTTAAGTCTAGATTGAATTCGTACCTTTTTTAGTAGAGCTTTTAGAATTGATTAGAGTGCTCGGGTTTTAATTTTTAATGTTTAATTGTAGTTGTGTGACTGTATGTACTGATGCTGGCAAGCACTGGTCGACAGCAGTTGTTTTAAACGTGCGATAGAAATAGAATTTGTGTTGTGTTGTACACCGCAAACCACTGACGAGAACAGAGACAGAAAAGAACGCCGGCTTATTTATAGTTTTGCTAGTTGTTCATTTTAATAATCAAGCTCTACAAAGATGCAGGATGACTTAAAATGATTTAAATGAACTGAATTATTTTTAAAATGGCTTTAGATTGAGACAATCTGCAATTTTTTACTTTTTATTGAATGTGTCAAATTGTTAATTGCCGATAAAAAGATTAGAGATAAAACTACAACATCTAACTCTAAAATGCACATAAATAAAGATGTAAAGTGGAATTTTTGAGTGGGATTAAATTGAGACAATCTGTACTATTTTTATACTTCTCATTGAATATCCTCCTGAGACCCAGCTATGGAGTTTTTGTCCATCGTCATGGAAACAGGATGATATTTTGTTATTATCATTTAAATCTGATTCATTTTCAAATAGTTTGTCTTATACAAAGTTTGGTATGAAAACAATCCTTAAACCTAAAAATTGATTTGTGATTTTTTAAAAATCCCATTGTTTTTTGCCTTTTCATGTTTATTCGTGTCATTTTATTTGTTAGAAAAACTGAGTCCTGGTGTCCTCTACTGAGGATAACATATGAATAAAATATCATTTTTCAAAAATGTTATTTTTCCATTTTTTCTCATGCTCTAAACAATCTAATGACATGAACAACACACACACACAAAATCTGGGTCTCAGTAGGATATTCAGTACCTTTATGTATTGTCTTGCTAAATAAAAATAAAAAAGATTAGAAGTCAATCTCTCAAACTCAAATACATATTAAAATGCTTAAAAAAATTAAGACAACATGCACATTTTTTTTACTTTTCATTAAATGTAGTGTTATTGTCTTGTTAAATAAATACCAATAATCAGTATTAGAAGTCAAATAAAATAAAATGTAACAAAAATGAGAAAATACTAATAATAATCAATATATAAACTGGAACTTTTGTTTAAATTGAGGAAATCTGTTGTTTTTACTTTTCATTGAATGTACCTTTACGATTGTCCTGTTAAATAAAAATACTGCAAGACTAAAATAAAATCTAACTCAAATCTAAATTTAAATGCTAAAATTAAATAAATTCAAGATGTAAACTGAAATCATATTGATTTTCCCCCTCAATAATTGTTTTCATCGATGAACAGACAGTTCTTGAAACTCCTAATATCACAATCTCAATCATGGTTAATGTAATACTTAATACTGTTAGCTCATTTTAAAAAATGCAATTACCTTTAAATTTTTTTCTATGGCAGACAAAAACAGAATTGTGAGATTTATACTCAGAGAAAAAAGACTGCGAACTATGCGAAGTGCCAAAAAAATCAGCATCTGGTGTTGAGTTTCAGCATCTCAGAGTTTTGACCAGCAGTTTGTGCCAATCAGAGAGCGGCAGCCCCTGCAGAGACGCAGCATTGGCCACTGGGACTCGTGGAGGCGGAGCCAGCAGAAAACAAGGCGGCGCTTAAAGGAGCATGTGGGCGGGGCTGTATCTGGACTGTTGCCATGGAGACACACGCTCCATAAGATCGAAGGTGACTGTAGCTATGCTTCCATCCAAAGTTACGAATTAAACTTGTGCACAAAATTGGAATATCCCGTAAAACATTTGCGAATAAAGCACTGCTTCCATCCAGGGAGTTGAAGAGAACAGCATTTCAGAATTAAGGAATTTATTCGGTAAAAGTGTTTCCATCGTAGTTTATGCACATGTTTTCTTACCGGATACGACAGTTTTTATGCGCATCTTGGCGTTTCCATCCAGGGTTTTTTTATGCAATATCCCAAAATGCGCATAAAAATAGGTGGATGGTAGCTGATGAGTGTGTTGTACGTAGGTGAGTAGATGACGATTAATCGTATGCGGTTAATCGTATGCGATCTGCTGCACAGGTCAGTTTGGGGTCGGGGTGAAGGCGTACTTCGTGTTCCTGCGTTACCTGCTGTGTCTGAACCTGCTGTACTGCGTCATTATCGGCGGATCGGTGCTGACGCCAACGCTGGTGTTCGCACAGAACTCAAGTACTCACGGTGAGACCGGCCGAAGATCTTACACATGATGCACTGATACTCACCTGGGCCCGTGTTCACAGAAAACTTTATCTTACCACTGAGAGTTCTCCTAAATGGCATTAAAAGCTTTTAGCTAAGAGTTTTCTCTTAAAGCTGCAGAGACAAACTTGTACTAAGGAATATAGAGAAGTGTTAAGCTCAGAGTAAGGGGGCGGGGTTTACCTCGTTGCTATGTATGATGTCAGCGTGCTTATTAACTATGCACACAGTGATTGGCTGACAGTCTCTGTCAGAGATTTATTCGTGGAAATATTGTAGAGTGCGATATTATGTTCAAATAAAGGTTTTAAAATGCAGGCTAAGTGTCATATGTTCAGCTAATTGTCAGCCTCTTAGATGTGTGCTTCTCGTAAACAATTAGCGGATGTGCATATAAACAGCCTTTTAATTAACAGTGGAATAATCATGACACGCAAACGTAAAAGAAAACCAAACTGGACTCAAGCACAGCTGTTACTTCTTCTCTAACTGTTTAATGAAAACAAGGATATAATCAAAGCCTCCAAAACCAAAGGCGATACCTTTATAAAAGCTCATTATCGTCAAATGTTTCTAAAATCGCCGGAAACAGCTGTTTTAGGAGAGTTTGTGGTTTAGGAGTCCTCTTCACTGCTCCTAACCTTTCACAGATTTAGGAGCTAGTTTTAGAGCTAAAACACTTTGTGAAAAACTCTTAGAGCAAACATTTAGGACTGACACGCCCATTATTTTTAAGAGTTTCTCCTAAATCGACGAGTTATAAGCTACTTTTAGCCTGAAGATGTTTTGTGAATACAGGCCCTGATTTTTACTTAATATCCTAATGATTGTGGTCAGGCAGAAAAATTAATAATTTTGACCCATACAGTGTATTGTTGGCTATTGCTACAAAAATGACTAGTTTTGTGCTCCAGGGTCACAGATGTACTATTAGTGTGTATGCAAAGTGTTTATTCACCCATCTGAGCCATTTTATTGCCCCGCTTGATGGTCTGAAACGAGAAGACAGATGATCCCGCAGTGACGGTGCCATTTTCACTCGTATCTGGGAAATAAACAACCAATGAGAAGCTAGATTCACAACATCAGGATTCACACTGAGCGATCATTATACTGTGAAAAGCGTGCGTTATCGGTCAGTATCTAAAGCAGTGTTTCCCCTGCCATTATTTTAGGGGGGCACCTCCGCCCCCTTTGAAGGTCAAGTTAATTTTATTTAATTATATTTTCTCTATAGCGCCAGATCACAACAGAAGTCATTTAAAGTCAACTTTCCTATAGAACAGGTATATACCTTGTTCTTTTATTAAGCAAACTAAATAGCCTTATGTTATTTATCTTATTTACACGACGGCATGTCATTTCGGTCTCTACGTTATGGTCGCGCTCTCTGTATCACATGCAAGAAAAAAGTCAGAATTGTGAGATAAAAAGTTGCAATTACCTTTTTTTTTTCCATATCAGAAAAAAGGAAGCTGTAAAGCCGGAAATCAGAGGAAAAAAAAGAAATTTGCAAGATAAAAAGGCACAATTACTTTATTTATTTTCCACCATGGCAGAAAAAAAGAAGTCGGAAATCCGAGAAAAAAAGTCACATTTGTGAGATATAAAGTCACAGTTACCTTTTTTATTTTAGTTTTTTATTACATGGAAGAAACAAAAAACAGAATTGTGAGATAAAAAGTTGCAATTATTTTTTTCATTTATTTCTTGGCAGAAAAACAAACGGAATTGTGAGAAGTAATCTCAGAAATCTCAGACATAAAATTCAAAACGGTCAGAAATAAACTTAGAATTGTGAGATAAAAAGTCACAATTACCTACTTATTTTTATATTCTGTGACGGAAACAAGCTTCCATAGATTGACTGATTGATTTATATTTCATTTCTTTTAGTAGAAAGTTTTATTCTATTTCTTGACTTTTCACAACTGCCTGTTTTTGGACATGCACAGATATAAATGAATGTCCCTGTTTTATATGTTGATTTCTTATAACCGTATTATCGGCTTAACTGTTTAATGTTTAGTGGATCTGCGTCATATTCTTGAGCATGTAAACCAGATCCCTGTCTTATCTTTCCTAAATAAATATGAGTTGTCTGTCCTTCACATTCTGCATGAACTGTTCTCTCTCTAAACCCCCTCTCTTGTGTTCTGGGTCTGTTCTGTGTGTTTTTAGGGTGTTCTTGAATCCTCCCCAGTGTTTCATAGTTTCTACACTCGTGGGTCTCTTGATTTGGATTGTTTAAACACTCCGATCCTCTTTCTCCTTGGCATGTTCTCTGTCCTCTTCCTCAGCATCATCATGGTGGTCCGCAGGTCAGATCATGTACCTATGAGCTATTAAATGAATTAAGTTTTTGCAGCTTTTGAGGCTACCTGCATTTGCAGCTCTTGACCACTACCATACACTCATTCAACAGCATGATGTCGAATGCTAAAATACATCATTTCAACTCATCTCATAGTTTGCAAATGCTGTCTCCATAGAGTTTACAGTTTTTTTCAACTGCCTACCCTACACAAAATCACACAGTTTCTGAAAGCTGACACTCAAACAGCAGAAGCACACACCAAACCTACAAAACCAGACACTGATTCTCAGCCTTTGACTCAGTTTTCAATTTCAGAAAACACTTTTTGCAAAACACAACACACAGTTCTCTATGTACCACACACAAATCTAACAGGAATTAATATTATGGCAAAGCTGTTTGCAAACGTTTGCTTTTGAGACGTGTTAGTGATATTTTGAATGCAGCGCTTCATTTTGCAAGAGATGCGAGGCGTTTTGCATTTTGTGTGCAATTCTTGTATCTGTGTGTGAAGTTATGAAAAAAAGAGGCAACGTTTTGAAAATGTGTGTAAGCTGTTGAAAACACTGTAAAAGCTATTGAACTGGAAACACTCATTGATTTATAGTAAATTTATAGTATGATTTATAGTAAATGACTTTATTATTACAAACCCCATAAAGGGACATAGTGATGGGAAAAACACAAAACTTTTGCATTTCCCAAGAAATGTTGTGTTCGCTTGTTTAAAACATTTGCATTCCCCCAAGAAACTTGGCATTTCCAGAGAAACTTGGTGTTTCTAAGGATATGCAAAAGTTTTGCAAGTAAATGCAAAGTTTCTCAGAAAAGCAAAAGTTTTACAAGTGAACGCAACGTTTCTCTGGGAACACTAAGCTTCTTGTAGAATGCAAAACTTTTGTGAGCAAACGTAACGTTTCTCTGGGAACATAAACATTTTCCAAATTAATGCAAAGTTTCTCAAGGGAATGCAAAAGTTTTATGAGTGAATGCAACGTTTCTCTGGGACTGCAAAAGTTTTGCGTACTTATGCAAACTTTTTTGGAGAGTGCAAAAGAATGAGTGTAACGTTTTTCTTAGAACGCAAAAAAGTTTTATGAGAGAGCGTGAAGTTTCTTGGGATAAGCAAAAGTTTTAACAAGTGAACGCAACATTTCCCAGAAAACGCAAAAGTGGTGTGAGTGAACACAAAAGCATTGAAATAGGATTTTTTTCTCTTATCTCATATTCAGGACAGTGGTCGGCTACAAACATTCATGGCTCACAGGAAATCGCTTCAATTCCAACTTGAGTTACAAGGTTTTCTGTGGGTGGGATTTCTGCATCCAGAACCCTCAAGCAGCGTCACTGAAACAAAACTTTGTCCGAAACGAACTCAGGGTAAGAAGTCAAGCCAGTCTCACAGAGAGAGAGCTTATAGATGGGTTAGGATGCAGGAACATTATTCCCAGTGGATGACCTCTGACCTCTGCTCCAGATGGATCTAGAAGAGCAGACGTTTCAACAGAGAGTCCAACAGCGATCGCTCAGACACTGGGTTCAGCTCATCTTCCTGCGGATCCTTCTGAACGTCCTCGTGCTGGTTCTTCTGGGCAGCTCATTCATTCTGATATATTTTGCCATCCAAAAGTCACAAACTAAGGTACCAATATGAAGTAAAATAATTGAAGCAACACTATGCAACTTTTGTCTCTCTAGTGGTTGAAGCATAAAAGTACAAGTTACTTTGTTTTGAATTATGATATATACTATGTATGTTTCATATGTGACCCTGGAGCACAAAACCAGTCATAAGGGTCAATTTTTCGAAATTGAGATTTGTGCATCATCTGAAAGCTGAATAAATAAGCATTCCAGTTTTTTAGTATATGAAAATATTGTATGGCCGAGATACAACTATTTGAAAATCTGGAATCTGAGGGTGCAAAAAAATCTAAATATTGAGAAAATCATCTTTAAAGTTGTTCAAATGAAGTTCTTAGCAATGCATATTACTAATCAAACATTAAGTTTTGATATATTTACGGTAGGAGATTTACTAAATATCTTCATGGAACATGATCTTTACTTAATATCCTAATGATTTTTGGCATAAAAGAGAAATGTATAATTGTGACCCATACAATGTATTGTTGGCTATTGCTACAAATATCCCCCAGCGACTTAACACTGCTTTTGTGCTGCAGCGTCACATTTATGCAAAAGTATATATGTATAGCTGTAATTTACTTTCCCTTTTAGCTCAGATGTAAATGGATGTTTCAGGAGATTAATTATTCATTAGGAATCAATAATGATTCAGCAACTAAATTGCAGTTTCCTCACCAGATCAATACTAGTCAGTTTTACAGACTAAAGACTATTTATAGTTATTATTGACCACACTCTAAAAAATGCTGGGTTGTTTCAACCCAGCGGTTGGGTTAAATTTTTACATTACATTTTTAACCCAAAAGTTGGGTTGAAACAACCCAGCGGTCTTTAGAGTGCACTGTTCAAAAGTTTGGGGTCATACTCAGCAAGACTGCGTTTGACCATAAATACAATAAAAGCAATAATATTTCGAAATATTGTATTTCTTATTGCATTTTAAAAGAACTGTAATGCGACAGTCTTCAGCGTCACATGATACTTCAGATATCATTCTGATATGCTGATTTGCATTTCTGATCATTATCAGTGTTAAACAGCGCAACAGTTGTGCTGCTTATTATTTTCATGGAAACTGTGGTTCAGGATATTTTTATCAATATTTTACATGATAAATGTCACTTTTGATCAATTTATTGCATCCTTTCTAAATGAAAGTTTTTTTATTGACCATAATCTTTTGAACAGTGGTGCAATTCTTATTATTTTCATATTAGGTTATATACAGGTGCATCTCAATAAATTAGAATGTCGTGGAAAAGTTCATTTATTTCAGTAATTCAACTCAAATTGTGTATTAAATAAATTCAATGCACACAGACTGAAGTAGTTTAAGTCTTTGGTTCTTTTAATTGGGATGATTTTGGCTCACATTTAACAAAAACCCACCAATTCACTCTCTCAACAAATTAGAATACTTCATAAGACCAATAAAAAAAACATTTTTAGTGAATTGTTGGCCTTCTGGAAAGTATG